TTAGCAAAAAAAATAGTGCGACTAATTATAGATTCTGTAATATCGTCTTATATATCCGACCAAAGTATATCAACACTATAACCACAGGAGAAGACAAATAGAGTTTGCAAGTTTACAAAGTAAAACCGTGACTGGAATTGATTTTTTAAGTTTTTTCTATCATTAAATAAAACATTTTGAGAAAAATTATGAAAGAAATATTCTTTAATTAGTGACTGGAATTAGTTTTTTAAGTTTTTTTCATTAAATAAAACATTTTGGGAAAAATGTTGAAAGAAATATGCTTTAAATACCCTTAATTTGTTTGGGAATTCTTTTGGAGACAATTTATTTTACAGGAGAGGGCGAATACTTCGTACAACTTCTACTAGATGTGATAAGTTGGAACTTGCTGTCAATATAAAATATTTAAAATAGCTGCTTCAAGTTGTCAGCATACTTTAGTCGATTAGTGTATAACTAGACGACGTACTAGGCACAGGCTTTGATCAGGCTTGGCCTGGGCACTTTTTATCGTTCATTTACTTTTGAAAAAGTCAGCGAGCAACAACAACAACAACAACAGCAGCAAGCAATGTGCTGTATTTATTGCCCTGCTCATGTATGTGTGTGTGTGTATGTGTGTGAGTGTGTGTGCGTTGTTTGTGTGTTTTGGAATGCACACGATCAACGCCACATCGCCTCACCTGTTCAGTTTAGTTCGGGCTGCTGCTGACGGCAAAGGCAGGCGCACAGCCCACAACAGCAGCAGCACCAACAACAACAATAACAGCAACAACAACAAGCATAATCCACTACGAAATTGCATGCTGGAATGTGAATGGAATCTGAACAATTTTCAGCGTCGCTGACGATGACGCCGTCGTTGGTTGTTGTTGATGTTGCTGCCGTTCGGACTTTCAGGCAAAGCGGCAACATTTTGCACGTTCGACTCGTGCATGGCAGAGGGGGGAGCGAGGGGCAAAAGTTTGTTGCTTGACGTATTTTACTCGTTAGTTTATTTTGTTTGTTGTTGTTTTTTTTTTAATACTGTTATGTGCGCCGCTCAATGGCAGCGACAAAAAGCCAAAAAGTATTTGACAATTGCTTTGACAATTGTTAAGTGCCATTACATTTTTGCGGCTGCGGCTGCTGCTGCTGCCCACACGAACAAACACACACACACACACAAACATATTAACACCTATGTATGTATACTGGCACAATATGTAAATATGTCGGGCCGCAGGTTCTCATAAATAAGCTGCTTGAGAAATTATTGTCGCACTGACATTGAAGCGCGTTGCCGTCAACAACAGCAACAACAATGTTGGACTGCCTTTAATTACAAGCGCGCGTTTGCAAGTCAACAGCACTGTTATTGTTGTTATATGTATCTTGCAGTTACTTGTGCCACATTTCGACTCACACACACACACACGCATACATATTTGATTTTGTTGTTTTATTCATATGTAAATCAGCGCAATGTTGCTGCTGCCTGCAGCTACCCACGTAAGGCTTTCAGCATATTACCCAGACATTGCCATTTGTTAGCCATAAGTGTCTTTTCTGTCAATTTTTGTTAAATTTTTCTATACCCTGAGCTCAAAGGAATCTCCACCATCAGTTGGGCGAGCTTCTTCAACTGTCTGATCCTACATTTTATCATTTTTTGCTACATTTTTTAATTTGCATAGCGCTGGAAAATAATCTCCGCAAACTATATTTATTATTTAAGTTCATCCAGAAGCTTTTTCGCCTGAATGATCCTCTAGATCTTTACAATCAGAAGCGCTATGCCGCAACAAAGTATATCATATACAAGTATAATCGAAGTATATGTAAATTTTAATATGTAAATATTTAAATTTTATTTAAAATTGCATATTACTTCTAAATTTTATAAAATTGAAAAGACAATTTGAATTCATTTGAATAAACACGAAAAGATTAAAGCGTAATTGCTTAAGGAATTATGTTTAGTTATAAAGACACTAGTCTGAAATACTTGAAGAACACCCACTGAGAATTTAAAGTAGTCACCTAATATCTTTAAAACATTGTACGATTTCTAGCAACTAAAAAACGACACTTGAGTCAAGTAATTTACATTTAAGATTAAAATATCACCTGCGAAGAAAATAAACTTCTAGATAATGCGATGTGTATGCTAGTATTGAGTTAGAGTTTGAAAGAATAGGGCCATTTCAAAGTTCGATTGAAAAGTTGTTTTTAATACAAAGCCGCTTCGGGTTAAAAAACAACAGCTTCTATTTATATTCCTTAATATCTTGTGCAACAACCAATAATTAAAAAAAAAAATGGATAATATAAGAGTAACTACTAGGATAATCGAGTAATTTAATTACCGTAGCTCCACTCAGTATTCGAACTGGCTTAAAAAAGTGTATTCCCAAAAGGCAACTTTCTGTGAATTAACCTTTAATTTTTACATTTTTTATGTCTTCTTCATTAATGAATGAATGTTTTCTGTAATAGCTACAAATTTTATTTAGGTTCTTATACAAATTTGCCTGATCTTGCCAATGAAGAGCATCTCATAGTCTGCCAATTATGTGTTTCTTATAAAAATTCTTGCATGATGCTGCTGCTGTTGTTGTTGTTGTAATTGTCACGCTTGTTTTTACCGACCTATGCACTGCATAAACATTTGTAGAAATTTGCATGCGAATTATTTAAACAAACGCCTACAGAGATCTGCGATTTCGCAGCATATGAGAATGGAAATGGAAATATGGAAATCTGCACAGATTTGAATTGGAATTTCAACTAGAAAGAATGTATGATGCTTCAAATGGGCATGGCATGGAAATTCTCAAACGAAATATGGAGTGGGGGGAATTCGTTGAAATTGAAAACGTTTCCTAAACAAAGGAAAAATTTAAAGGCACTATTATAAACGCTTTTGTTTATTATTTATAAAAATGTGTGTTTTTCAAAGATATTTATAGTTTTATACGTTTTATGATTTTCTTTTTATTTTGATAATAAGGCAATATTTTCATAAATTATTTTAAAAGTCAGGCTTAAAGCGTTCGAAAAACGGGAAATTTTCGTAAGTCTTTAAAATATTAGAAATAATGTTGTCATAAATATTAAGATCTCAAGAGTTAAGAAATATGTTCTAAGATATCTGATAATTGTTTACAATCTCATAAATTGAATATAATTTAAAATAAACATGTAAATCCAAAATTTTAAATATCCAAGCTAAGGCAATATTAATCATAACCGACAAAATCATCCCCAAAAACTATACAATCATATGCTAACAAATAATTAATTAATAATAATGATCGCGATTAATGGTTAATTAATAATAATGATCGAGAACAATCGAGAGAAAATTGTAAAGTGGGGTGATTCCCCTAAAGAATAAAAAGAAAAAGAATTTAAATTATAATTTAAATTATAGGTTCTTAGTAACCCCAGGAAGGCACGCCTGTTTCATAAATTCCAATAATTTGGAATAATATATGGAATATTAAAAATATTCCACCAATATCGCAGCAGCAAAGGTAAGGGATACAAGCCTCAAAGTACCTTTAAAGTTTACATATTGGACTTCACATAGGAACTAGCCAGACATTATGAGATATTTGAAATATTCGACAAATTATGAAAGTAAAATGTGAAGCAGAACGCTTTCTAAACTCTGGTTGTCTCAAGCCCTTTAACTAATCCTAAAGGGTTGCGTCGTTTAGTGGCATAGGGAATAGGGGCTACCAGACTTTAATTATATGTACATATATAGAATATTGAAAATATTCGACACATTTTTGAGCAACAGTAAAAACAAGAAAAATGCCGGGAATTGTAGTTGGGTTAGACCCAGCTTAGGGACTATTCCACAATACCTGAAGCGAAAAGATTCCATTAGCTTTTGTGTAGGAGATTATCAGTTTCTAAAGAATTATTCCTACAGCGCGTAATCTGCACCAATTAGACATGCATATTTACAGACCCATGTGTGTATACATACATATGTATGTATATATGTATATAGTAGGCATGTGAATATTCAAGATAAGAGATCTCTCGTATGCCATCCAAACAAATGACCTTGTGCATTGCGCCCCCAAAGATCAAAGACGAGATTTTTATACAAAATTTGTGCACAACAGCATTGCAGAAAAGGAATTTTCGCCCCGACTGCTGGCAGCGTGTAGTAAAAATCATTTTCGCACTTTTGTTATTAATAGTTTTTCTTGCATATTTTTGTTATGCTCTTGCCTGCCTGCACACACACACATGCGAATGTGTAGTCAAAGCAGACACAACAACAAAGTAAAAATAAAAACAACACACAAAAATGCAACACTTATTGCCACACAGTGGGTTGAAGTGAGATAGAATATAGAGAGCAACGGAGCAGCAGCTGAAGAATTTAATCCGATTTGTAGTAAAGAGTAACGAGCGCGCAGATGTTGCGGGCGATGTTAGCGGCAGGGGGGCGCATAGGAAAAGCAACAAACACACACACGCACACACACTCGTTTGTATTTGTATGTACGTGTGTATGCATGCAGTTGCACACCACACTCACAGACACTCATACATAGATACGCTTGCAACATTGCATAGTTGAGAAAAATATGTAAATACAAATGGGCTAGCATTTTTATGGCAAATCAAACATTTTCCAAACACTACAAACACACACACACTTACTGACGTCCCCTACCACTATGTAAACGCAGACACACACACACACACGTTCGCAGAATTATGCACTTTTTAATTTCCACATCCATTTTGATACGATTTTTACGCACTTCCTTTTTGGCCTGCATTTACTTTGTACTTTGTGTTACATTTTTCATAAATATTTTTAAATTATTTTTATAGCCACACACTGCACGGACGAGAAAAAATGCACAGGCAACGGCGACGGCAACAAGCGAACGAACGAGCGAGCGACAGCTACACACAATTGGAAATACACTCGCATACATTCACACATACGCGCAGAGCCATAGCCATACACACACACTTACACATGCACGGACGATGGTGTATTGCGTTTTTCGTCGCCAAAAACACGATTCGCGCAGTTATTTCATTGCACTTCTTGCAGATCCATCTTATTTACCTTTACGCGCAACGTTTGTGCATTAACTAATTAAATTTAGTTAGTTAAACACTAATTTTTCCGTGCTATTAGCGTCACGTCGCGCTGACAGATGGTTAACAGGGTTGTGAAGAGTAGCGAGGGCTGCACTGTTGTAATAGTCACAACAAACTGCCAACTCGTTGGTAATTCACGTGCGTTGGCAGCCTGCATTTGGCACAGACAGCTTCTGGCAGCATCGCAGTGGAAGCTGAGTGCTATGGCACGTTTTCCATTTTGAAATAGTTGGCGCGTGTTTTTCATTATTTCAAACAGCATTAAAACCCTGAAGCAGAAATATAAACTAATCAATTGCAACAAGGAAAGTATTAATAAACACAAATTAAATATATATAGTGCTACGTAGTAATGTAATTGTATTGAAATGCTAAATTTCCTGCTTCATAAGTTGGCTGACAACGGCTCCTCTTGTAATTATTGTCTTGTCTTGGCCACAAGCAAGCCACGTAGTTTCCATTGGCACTGTTTTAAAAAAAAAACACATGTGAAGCATTGAATAAAGTCTCAGATCCATGTAGATATTTAGGAATATTAGGCATTGCTTCGATTACGAAGCAGATTGATAGGTTAAAAATAATCTGGCTATAAATTAGTGTCTGGTAAAAGTAAGTTGTTGTTAGAACAACATTTGCCTTTTTAAAACTTGCCATCAAAAGTTTTCTTCTTGCATTCGACCTCACTCACTCGAAACTCACACTCTTTCCCAAACAGTTCCCCATTTAAGATAAATATTTCCCGGTAAATCATGTGAAGTTTTACCAAAAATGTTTTTTTTCAATGCGGGTATAAATTCAGTTTATTTCATTAAATAATTTCAATGCAATTTATCAATCACACCTCTTCAGCAAAATCGTGGTAAGTTAAAATTAACCACAATTAGTGCTACCAATTCACACGATAAAGCGCGAGTTGGCAGTCAACCGGTTCAGCCGATAGACAAGAAGTTATCGATTGGCTTATTGCTTTAGTTTTCTGCGCGCATTCTCAACGAAAGGTTGGGTGGTGTCGGCTTTTTGCGCCTTTATTTCCAGTAGTGTGTGCGATTGTATTTGTTTTTATCTCCCGCTACTCGCTTTGTTTATAACAAAGTGTGCCTAACCAAGAGCAAAATATTAAGTATGAGCATATTGCAAAGCAAGAAAATGCATCAAGTGCCAGTAGAATGCATTTGCGTGCATTAAAAAAAAACTAGGTGTGAAATGGCGAAAATCAATAACAAAGCAAAGTAAATAAAAAGTGGTCGTTGTAGTCGTCTTCGTCTTCATTGTTGTTGTAGTTTACTGCAAGCGCAGAACATTGCAGCAGTGTTCAGTGAAAGAAAGCAGAAAGGCCGACTGCTTCCTTGCCTGCATACATGCATATGCATATGTATGCAGTTTGTGCGTGTGTGTGTGTGTGTATGAATTGCGTCTTATTAACAAAGAGCCGAAACTGCAATTGGCCGCACAGCCTGCAGCGGCGCAGCTACTATAACAACAACAACTGCGAATTCGATGCCGCGCTGCTTGACGTGACGCGAATTAATTAAATGCGCTGCTTTTGTAGTTGTTGTTATTGTAGTTAGTTTGACTCCTTTACACACACACGCATACACATGTATTGTAATTAATTCGTATTCTGCCCATATTATAAAAAAGCCCTCTTCAGCCGCAGCTGCGAATAAGGTCAAAATAAAACAGGAAAAAAAAGAAGTTTGTGTACGCCGCCGCTTTTAATTCTAGGTATTTTTTACAACAATTTATAAGCGCGACTCGTTTCAAACGCGACTTCACGAAGTTCCTTCAGTGTTAGTGTGTGTGTATGTGCGTGCGTGCGAGTTTATTTTGCGGTTTAAAGCAGAACAACAAAAAAAATAAAAGAACCGACACCGACGCGTGATTCATACACCCAACTGAAAAGTCAGTAACAGCAGCCGCGGTTGTTATTGCTGTTGTTGTTGTTGTTGTTGCTGCACACTGGCCCGTGCATTGAACCAGCGACGTCGGCAGGCAACACACTGCTTCCTGCAGCATTCGTTTAACAGTACCATCAGCAGCAGCAGGCGGGGCAGAGCAGTGCAGCAGCAGCAGCGCTGCCAACAGCAGCACCCACAACATGGATAACAGTAAGTTTATTAATAATTTGTATACCCTCTACCCAAAGGGTTTGCTAGTTTAGGGCGAGTGTACAAACATACATACATATGTACATTTGTATGTATGTGTAGCGTTCAGAAGGAGGCGTGGCACACTCCATCTGAAAAGTATAGGAGGAAAAATAAGAAAGCTAAGCAATCATATTCTGCTGAGAAAAGGAAATGGGTTATATTTGTGTTATTCATATTTTCTGATGCAACTGCCCACGCCCACATAATGTGGTTTCTAGATTATTTTAGAATGACTTTTAAAATTCGCATCCACTCTAGCCTTTCAGTTTTCTTGTTGCTTTAAATTGTAAAATAAAACAAATTTCTAGGGTGGGTCTCCCCCGTCGCGCTCTGTCTGTCTATTTCTCTGCTATGCCGCACACTTTCCGTGTTTTGCTTTGGCAGCATTTTCGCATTTTCGGCTGCTGCACACACCCAGCCCTTAACAGTTAGTGTTACGCTTACCGTTGTTGTTGTTACCGCTGCTGTTGGGTGGTGGCGTGTAGTTCTGTTATCTTTTTTTCTCGCTTTATTGCACGCGTTGTTTCACGCCTGCTTCAAGGACATGAATGTGGGTGGGGCAGCCATATTTTTTCACTCTTGTTCTATTGCTTTTGTTGCAAATTTGCATAATGCGGGGCGGGCGGCTTTGAAGTCTATTCATAAATAGATTGGATGTGCATTGAAATTAAAATAGTGATGTATTTAAATATGCAGAACATTTTCCCCTTTTGGTAAACAGTTATGCTATGGTCATACATGCAAATAATATGCACACAAATTTGTTGAAATTCGCAAGCATGCCATGCGTTCAATTAAAACTTAGAATAATTCCCTATTAGAAGACCGTTTCTGCTATAAATTATTAACAATTTGTGTGCAAATTCTTTGACTTAGTTTTTTTGACCAATCATTTATAGCTTAAATAAACATTTTTCTAAAATATTAATATGTATATTTTGAATTATAAATGAGAAATCTCATCTAAATAACAAAGTATTGTTAGAGTGCCTTTTAAAATCATGAGTTATCTTACAAAAAGGTTTATCCGTAAACAAAAGCAATTACAAATAATAATAAAACCGATAAAAATGGATATTTTCGCGAATATAACGAATTGGATTTCTTTTAATATCAGTGTTTATTAAATCATTGATTAACATATATGTACATATTCACGTATATACTCGTATGTACTATGTAATATAAATCCCCGTGAAAATACCTTTCTATATTAACTTTTTTTAGAGCTCATCCTTTGAATAAAAGCCTTCTCTGATGAAGCTAGCACTACCTCTTTGTTTTTCAACGTTAATTAAATTTTGGAAACAACATTCCTTCTATATAACCCCATTTCTTTATTCATTTGATTACAAACTTCCCTCTTGCTTTTGTCTTTTTTGTCTTTTCGTTGATAGCCCACTCTGAGTATTTTCCAAGCCTTGATGCTGGTTTTTTCTGATCTAATTATTTGCAATCTATTCACATTGTCTTAAATGTTTTTATAAATTAAACCGGCTTTCTTTCTTTTCTGAAAATTCGTCATCTTAATTGCGATTCATCAGTAACAATTTCTCAGCACCTCTCTGGTCTTTATTCAGAAGCAAGTAAAACTTTTCCAAAGGTTTCCAAACTGAATTCTTTGTCGGATAAAGTTGCCGGCTTGAGGTAATTTCAGTTCAACAACAAGCTAACTGAAGAATTACAGCATGGCTTCTCGAGCCTTAAGTTAAATACATATTTTTTGCAAGAGTATTTTGTACATTATTTATTCTGTTACTATATATACAAAATAGGATAAATATTGCTGTTTTTATTTTTTTTTTTCACTTGTTTTTTGCTGTTGTTTATAAGACGATTTGAATATATAATAATGAATTTTTGGGAAGGTAATGGCTGCGTGCGCGTGCTAGACATTTGATTAATATATTTTTTTTTAATTTATCGTGAATAGTGTCTTTAATGTTCTATAAGATTCTAGTAGACAGAAACATTCTATTTTGCAAAGCTGCTGCTGGAATTCGGTTGATAGCCAGTGTATTGCTTTGAAAAATGGCTTGGCTTTGTGTTTAAACATTTTACCCACCGTTAAGCCTATTCTTAAAGACACGCTCCCGCAACAGCCGCAAAGAGTTACAAATAATAATACTACCTAATAAAAAAAACAAAAGTTCAAATGAATCGTACATACTGACGAAAAACAATAGAACCGGTTTTCCGGCTCAGTTAAAAAACTCACTTTAAATACAAATAGAATTTGCTTATGTATGTCGGTGATGATTTCATGTTGGCCATAAATTAGCATGGTCACAAAAAACGCGAAAACCTTTTGCGAGTTCGTTAAAAATGTTGTCCATCAGTTGGCCGGACAGATGTGGCACAACTAACAGAGATGTTGGGAAAAGACAACAAGCAAGCATTTTTGCGGCTTCAGGCTCTGGGCGTACCTAATGAAGTCTTCAAGAAATGGAAAAATTGATTGGATTCGTTCAACTCTTTCAAGTCAAATTCATACTAAATGGCCAGGCCTCTAATACGGTTAAAAATAAATTATTATTATTAAACTACAGCTATTAAGGTATGTTGCATTTTAGCCTTGACTGAGCAGGGCCTTAAGCTAGCAGATCGCTTTTTAGGAATTGCTTAGAGATAGGCGGGACGGGATCTGAGCTGGGAAAATGCATCTGTGTTTGGGGAGAATATGGTGTATGCTGTTTTTGATCGATGGAATATTAATTTGTTATGTTTGTGTATGCAAGTCTTAGTTTTGAAAATTCCATTTGGTCGAGTCTGGAGAGTTTTTGCTTTTAAAGTTTTTGCATAATGTCTCGGAAGTTGAAGTTAAATATTAGTGGAAGCTGCTTTGATAGCTATTGAAGAGATTTGCGAAAGGGACATTTTATATTTTCCAAACGCAGTTTTAGATTGTTTTTTATACCCTGTACCCGTAGGGTAAAAAGGGTATATTAGGTTTGTGCAAAGTATGTAACATACAGAAGGAAGCATCTCCGACCCCATAAAGTATATATATTCTTGATCAGCATGACGAGAGAAATCGATCTAGACATGTCCGTCCGTCCGTCTGTCCGTCCGTCTGGATGAACGCGAGGATCTCAGAAACTATAAAAGCTAGAATAACCAAAGTTGGCATCCAGATTCTCCTAGGTCCGAGAAAGGACGAGTTTATTTTATTTTTTGGAATTTTCCCCCCCTTCCCCCGCTACAGAATTTCGTCAATAGCGTCCACATTTCAAATGCTACCTCAACCAAACTTTGCACACCAATTCGGTCAATTCTGAGAAAAGTTATTAGCGAAACAAATTCTCTACAGTACAACCCCCACAAACTGCAGCAACAAGTTCGCTCTTCTTCTTCCTCTTTTTGCTGCTGCTTTGGGCGCATATAACTCAGTGACGGAAGTTTACCTGGGTACAGGGTATTACACTGTCGGGCTTGCTCGACTGTAGCGTTCTCTCTTGTTTATTGTAAGTATTAAGTTGAAAAATGGTTTACAAATGTATTTCCTTTGGTTGAGGCAAAGAGGGATGTGTCGATAAATTTCCAACAGGATTAACAGTCGTATTAATGCGAGCTATTTATAGTAGTTAAAGCCTCTACCCAAACTTTGGAGTGGCCTGTCTATTTTCCGTCTGCATTTTTCTCATGTTAATGATACGGGTTTATGAAAATAAACGCGAATATAACGACACTGAAGACCTAAGAGTGATGATTGATGTCAGGTTCATTAAAGAATCCCCTATTATAAGTGTCTAAGAGAAAATATGATTTTTTCTATTTTAATAATTTACAAACTAACGTTAATTCCTTTAAAATGAGTTTATTTTCCTGCTGAAACCAATGTGATTTTGAACTATCTAACTTTTCTAAGATTAAAATAAATTGTGTATTAAAATTGAAACAATTTGGATTCAAATAAAGCATTTCAATAGCTTTAAAGACAAAGTCAGCACTGGGTTTAAATAATCGTTGATCTTTGTTGACTGTCGCAAACTTTTGCGTAACAGAAACTAACTCAACTGCAAATAATCCCACAGTTTTCTTTGTTATTCGGGAACCGGAAAATGCATTATTAGTTGTATTTTCTTCAGTTTGTTGGGTAGTGTAATTGTTATGGTTGGCAAAAATGACTTCTTTGCATATTTATGAACATTTTCACTTTCTCAGTTTTATCTGACAAAATGGCTCGCTTAATGGCCAACGTTTTGCAACAACAAATACAATGACAACGACAATATCTAAGACCAAAGAAACCCGAAGAAAACTAAGAGACCAGGCCTTTGTTTGCCGGCGCTCCACTCCACATTTCGGATGCAAATGCGAGTCAGGCCTGCGCCCATAAAAAATTGTTCATCAAAAGAAAGAAATCATCAACGTGGTTGTTGCCGTTGCCGTCGTCCTCATAATCATCATCATTATCATCGTTATTTTTATCATCATCTGGAAATGACACAAAAGCCAAAAGCAAACTGCTACGAATGTTGCTGTATTCGTGGGCGTTGGGGCGTGGCATGGCATTGAATGAATGTGCAACCAATCAGCGTCATTATCAGCAACATCAGCAACTACAACAACTACAACAACAACGACAGCAACATTGAACATGACAAAGAAGCCATAACAAGCTTGAAACGCACATTAAGATTTATGCATATTGTCTGGGTCTGGGTTCGAGGCTTTTACTTTTTTGGTTATCAGCGAAGCGTCTCTCTTTTTTCTTTATAATTTTTTTGGATTACGGCTATTTTCTTTTCTTTTGAACAGTAGCCGCTGCTTTGCCTATGAAAAGCGTTAAACATGGACTTGAAACACGACACTGTGTCTAATTGATTTGATGAAGATTATATGGTGCCGGTGGAGCTGAATCCGAGGCGCCGTGGTTTCAAACATGTAATCAAATAAAAAACAGTGGGCTTGGTTTTTGATATGGGAGGCAGCCAGAAAAATTGATAATACATACT